GCCGAGCGGGCCCCGCGGCCACGCGGAGGTTTGCCCGGAACCGCTGGCTCGTGCCCGAGAGCCTCAGGCGCTCCTGGCCAGGCCGCACCGTAGTGCGAGACCAGGGCCCTCCCGGCCTGCGCCTCCCCCGACTCCTACCGCCCCCGGGCCCGCCTGCTCTCCGCCCCGGGACCTCAGACACTTGGCTGCCAGGGACCCCGAGCGACCCAGCCCGGGCCTCTTAGCTACGTACCTGGCGCCTCCTGGTATGAGCCGGGTTGAGTGACTGAGCGCTCCAGGGCCGCTGGGGCAAGGCAGTGCCCAGGTCTGGGACTTGGGGGGGCTGGGGGAGTTGCCAGGCGCTCTGCTGGGGGTGAAGAGGAGGCAGGCAGTGTTCGTCCCTGGTCTTGGCCTTTCTCTTAATGGGCCTCTGCAGTCTGCACTGGGCGCCCGCCTAAGTCACCGGGAGCGCCCTGCGTCCAGCCGCTACGCCGAGCTCTGTGTATCCGACCTTCCGGCGGCATTAGCCATTTCACCTGTGTGGGATCCGAGGCTCGGGGAATAAACCACCTGTCTTTGGTGGGTGGGGAAGCCGGGACCGGAAGCCCTTTTCTCTGGTTGGTCCATTCTGGATACTAGCAGGGCTTTGCCCGGAGGACCCAGTCCCGCCGGCTCTTCCCGGCCTGCTCTTCCTTACTCTGGTGGTTTGGTCTGGCCAAGACGAAGGTCTCCAAGACGGTCTCCCCTCCACGCACGTGGCTGGATTCTTGTGGGAAGTTGGCCGAGGGACAGGTCAATCGGGTCAGAAGGGCCAGGCAAAACCAGAACCCACTCACCCGTGTGCAGCTGATTTCTTTACTCCGCATAGTTAGGTTCTGTGAAGTCGGGAAACCATGAATTTGTGAACACCGAGCCATTGCTCCTGGGGAGACAGAGCGAGGTTCCTGCCAGCCTCTGGGTCACATTTTTGTCACCCAGCCGACACGTTCCCTTATCTTATGTGTCTACTTTAAAGACACCTTCTTTAGCACGTGTGTGGATTCTCTAGCACCGAGCTCACGGCTGACAAGGCCGGAAGTCAGACTGATGAAGTCATCTAACGCCCGCATGCTAGGCCTTCTTCCCGTTGGGAGCCAGACAGCACTTCAGCACTGGGCTTGGGGGCCCACGGTGAACAGCACAGTCATCCACAAAAATGTGGATACATGGCACACACACCAAAAAAAAAGGGTTTTAGGGCACCTAGTTAGAGTCTGAAAACCCAAAACAAGAAAGCAGAGCTTTGCGGGCCAGCCAGTGGCATGGTGGTTAAGATAGCCGAATCCCACATGGCTGACTAGACAGTTCAAGCCCCAGATCTAGTGTCTTGGGAAACACATCAGGCTTGTGTGCATGTGTACCCAAAATCCTGACAGGAGAAGGGATTGTGGTGAGGCCATCCTCCCTTGGGAGGGGGGTGTGCGCGGATTGTGGTGAGGCCATCCTCCCTTGGGAGGTGGGTGTGCTCTCTCTCTCTCTCTCTGGTGAGCGTACCCCCATAGCAAAATTAGGAAGGAAAGAAGGGAGGGGAAGGAAAAATAAATAAAAGAAGGCAGAGCTTTGCCCTGGCCCACCTTAGTTGGGAATGTGTTCATCAGACAACTCAAAATGTTGACCTTTTGTCCTGTGACTTTGAAAAGTACTACAATGATTGGTCTGGGGTTCCCAAATAAATTTCAGTGACGAGACCAATTCATAGAGAATCTGCAAATAACCAGGATTACTTCTTATATCAGTGCACCGGCAGAGGAGTAGCCAAGTCACCATTTCGGAATACGTAGGATTCGCCAGGCGCAGTTCCAGGCGTTGACTTGTACTAACTCACTGAGTCCTCACAACAGCCTCCGGGGTAGGTTTTATTTCTATTTCTTTCTTCCAAGAAAGGTTGGACTGCCGCTTGGTCTTAGCAAGGAGGCTATCCCACTTTTCCCATCACTCACAGTCTAAAACTAGCCCTGACAGACCCTGGGTCAATGGGGAAAACCGCATGAATATTCAAGAGGAAATGGGGAATTGAAAGAAAGATTATGCCATGCTGGGCAGTCCTGGGGGAAGGCACCAAGAGGCCTCTGGAGCCCCGGGGGCTTGCTTGGGAGCATTGGAGCCACTCTGCTCTAAGGTATTAATGGCTCAGGAGGACTTCCTGACCCGTCGTCCCTGGGGCACTTTGATTCCTGAGCCAGCGTGAGGGGAGTGCCCCATGGTACTGAGTGTGAGGCCAGGGCTGAGCCTTATTTCATGGGTTCCACCTGGTGACAGGGGAGCCCCTCAAAGAGCAGCTGGTTGGGAGCAGAGCAGAAGAGAAAACATCGCCATACCCTCATGGAAGATCTGCTTCCTGTTAACTCAGCAGGTTGAACAGTCCTGTGTGTGTGGCTCAGATGACAAAGAGCCGCAGAGGACTGACTCCACTGGACCTCACAGGTGTTGTCCCCAGATTCATGGCCTCACTACTCCCTAGCTTTCTCCTTTGCCCCTGTGCCCAAGCAGAGACACCGGGCCTTCTCTCAGTCCTTCCCACCCTACACACACACACTCACACACGCACACACACGCACACAGTGTCCTGGCCCAAATGTTTAAACAAGACCGTGGCAAAGGCATGGGATGTGGGGAAAACAGGAACGCATGAACCTCAAAAGAGCCAGTCTGGCTGATGTGAGTACTGGGTGTGAGTGCCCACTCCATTGACCTCAGGCACAGGGGGTGGTCCAGGCACCCTCTGCCTACCCAGCCCCTGCACCACCTCTGTGAGAACCCCTACCTCCAGGGGACAGTGGCGCTGCAGAAGGCTTGAGAGATCTAGAAAGGGGCAGAATGTCTGCCTGGAAGAGGCACACTGACAGCATAACACTGCTACACACACACACACACACACGCACGCACGCACACACGGAAAAAGCACAATAGTAAAAAAAAACACCAGCATCAGCATCTTCTGGTAGGGCTGAGCTCAGCTCTGTGGGGCCTGAGAACACCATGGAACTGCACGGAGCCGTATGTGCAT